AACTGTGTTCCTGTGTCAAGGCAGATAAGAGAACCAAAGGCAAGGACCCTTGGTCAACTATATACCTTTTTTCCAAGGATATCAATATAAGCACTTTACTTTTTATTATTAGTCAAATAAACTTTGGGATGGATTTCTCAATCCTCTCCCAGCCTCCCCCCCCTCCCCCCCGTTTTTTGTTTTGTTAATCCTCACCTGAGGATATTTTTCACATTGATTTTTAGAGATAGTGGAAGGGAGGGGGAGAGACAGAGAGAGAAGCATCTACGTGAGAGACACAGCGAATGATAATCATCTCCTGTACACGCCCCAACTGAGCCTGCAACCAAGGCCAGTGTCCTGGACAGGAATGGAACCTGAAGTTATTCAGTCTGAGGGCGGATGCTCCAGCCTGTGAGCCAAACCACCCGGAGTTCACTTCTCTTTCTAGGTTCACTCCTCTTTCTCAAGACCTTAGGAACTTCTCCAATTGGACCACAGTCTCTGGTCTGCCCTTTACTCACCTCTGTTGGCTCTGCTCTTCCTCTGGCACCTGCTGAGAGGTCTGTCCCGAAGTCCCAGCCTTACTTTCTATAAAGAGACTGACATTTCTGTAGGGGCATAGGTCAGCGCTCATCAACGCCTCCTGACCTGGACTGTTTCCGGGCAGTTATCAGGTAACTTGGACATTTAGCCTCAAGATTAATTAAAAGACTTGCTGTCTGGCAGTGATATCGATTCAACTTGTAGTTTGACTCAATTAGCCAGTTTAGAATCTAGTTCCACAGCAGGGATTTTCACACATACAAATCAGTAGTTTTGTGAAACCTGATGAAATAATGGCTAGTTTACCCTGAAAAGCTTCATAATCTAGAAGCCAACTGAGTAAACGCCATCGTAATTAGATAATTATTCTAGCCCTGCAGTTGCCAGGCCCTTCTGCCAAGATCTCTTTCCTCTTGCTACAATTCCCCGTCTCAGTTGCCTCCCTAAAATAAAAAATAAAACAAGACTTAATTCTTGCCTCTCAGAATATGTCCAATGGGTCGCCACTTCTTGCAGTTTTTTAAAATACATTTTCAACTTCCTAACACTCTCACCTGACTTTGCTAAAGGTACAGTCTTTGTGTCACTGGATTTACACAGCTTCAACATTAATAATGGAGCACGCTATCTTAGGGAATACAGCCAGGCCCCGTGATGCTGTGAGATTCATACCTTCTAGAAGGCAGCTCCACTTGGAACTGGGTATGCCAGTCATAATGGAACTGCCTTCTGGAAGGGGTAGAGCAATGATAGCGAACCTTTTGAGCTCTGCGTGTCAGCATTTTGAAAAACCCTAACTTAACTCTGGTACCGTGTCACATATAGAAATTTTTTGATATTTGCAACCATAGTAAAACAAAGACTTATATTTTTGATATTTATTTTATATATTTAAATGCCATTTAACAAAAAGAAAAATCAATCAAAAAAATGAGTTCGCGTATCACCTCTGACACGCGTGTCATAGATTCGCCATCACTGGGGTAGAGGGACCAAGGTTCTGCTAATCTGAGTCAGATGACATCCAAGGTGGATTTCCCTTATATTGATTTCTAATAGGGTCTGGAATTGGCCCCTATGTTGAACTTAGATTTATTGCCAAGACATACCCAATAGAAACATTGAAGTCTTTTTTGGAAACAAATTCCAGAGAAGCATTTTGTTGGTGGGGGTCAGCATGGCACTCAAAAGTGATGCTATTTGCTCTAGCTGGTTTGGTTCAGTGGGTAGAGTGTTGGCCTGCAGACTGAAGGGTCCTGGGTCAAGGGCACGTAACTTGGTTACAGACTCCATCCCCTGTCTGGATGCGTTCAGGAGGCAACCAATTTATGTGTCTCTCTCACATTAACGATACTCTCTGTCTCTCCCCTCCCTTCCATTCTCTCTAAAAGAAGAGTCAATGGAAAAATATCCTTGGGTAAGGATTAACAACAACAAAAAATGATGCTATTTATTTTCTTCTGTTTTTTTACAGTCATAAATATGCCATCCACACATACACACACACACACACACACACACACACACACACACACACACACATATATATATGAAACTTTAAAGTTGTGTGATTTTGATTGTCAAATTAGAATCCTAAAAATATATTTCCAAATTGAGGTCAGAGCAGTAATATTCAACTGAGGGTTTTGTTGTTGCTGTTTTTAAATATATTTTTATTGATTTCAGAGCGGAAGGGAAAGGGAGAGAGATAGAAACATCAATGATGAAAGAGAATTATTGATTGGCTGCCTTCTGCTTGTCCCCCAATGGGGACTGAGCCAGGTTTGTGCCCTGACCTGGAACTCAGCCGTGACCTCCTGGCTTACAGGTTGACGTTCATCCATTGAGCTGTGCTGGGGGGGCAAACTGAGGATTTTTAATTCATTGTTTACTAGAAGAAATACAATGTTTCTAATTGTTGCTATAATTTGCTAGGCTTGTTAAAAGCCTTAAGAAATACTAATAATTTTAGCTTAGTAATTGCACTTATGAAATTTATCATTAGGAGATAATCATGGGTGTAAACAAGATTTTAGCCAGGAAAGATGCTTATAATATTAAAAATAGCAGTCTATCTAGATTTCAAAGATTCAGTTAAGTAGACTACAGTATTTCTACATAATGTGGACATTAAAAATGGTGCAATTGGGCCCTGACCAGTTTGGCTCAGCGGATAGAGCATCGGCCTTCAGACTCAAGGGTCCCGGGTTCGATTCCGGTCAAGGGCATGTACCATGGTTGTGGGCACATCCCCAGTGGGGAGTGTGCAGGAGGCAGCTGATCAAAGTTTCACTCTAATTGATGTTTCTAACTCCTTTCCCTCTCCCTTCCTCTCTGTAAATAATCAATAAAATATATTTTAAAAAAATAAAATAATGGTGCAATTGGGAAAATTAATGACATGAAAAGATGTCCATGTTATGCTATTAACAAAACACCCAAATTTTAAAACATTCTTTGAAGCATATAAATCTTTGGATGTACACACATGGAGAAAGCAAGCAATTTGTCAGGACATACCTATATGGTAGAATTATAAGCAATTGTATTTTCTGTCCTTTTTTAAAAAAAATATGGATATACAAAGCTCTGTTTTTTTTCTGTTTTAATATATACTTATATTTTTATTGATTTCAGAGAAGGAGGGAGAGGGAGATAGAACATTAATGATGAGGAGAATCATTGGCTGCCTCCTGCACACTCCTTACTGGTGATTGAGCCTGCAACCAGGGCATATACCCAGACCAGGAATCCAACCATGACTTCCTGGTTCATAGGAGGACACTCAACCACTGAGCCAGGCCAGCTGGATGTGATTGTCCTTTCTTTCACTCTCTCTTTCTTCTTTTTTTCCTTTCTTTCTTCCTTTCTTTCTCTTTCTATAATAAACATAAATGACTTTTATGTTCATCGTTTATTAAAAAATATTATTCCTAGATGTCTTTTCAATGTGCACTTTTAAAGGTGTTCTTGGTTGGAAGTCTCCACAACACATCGAACTAAGAATGTTTTGTTATGCCTCCCTGTGACTCAAGCTGAGTGCCGCAGGTTCCCCAAACAGAAAACAATAAACAGCAATTTCCCAAGTGTAAACTGAAGGGAAGTTTGGCCTGTCAGCAAATTTTCTAAATAGACTAATGGCCCAACTTAGCACAACAGTTGGTCTTTTTAGATAAAATTAAGTAGAAAATTATAAAGTATTCACTTAAAATGGTATTTTGAACAACCAAATTAGGTGACTTTGATTTCTTTTTTTAAACCACTTTTGATCTGTGCATACTTGTTACTCAGAGTCCAATAGAGTGATTGCAAAGAACATTTTATTGATGGCTTCCACAGAGTACATAGATCATATGAATTGTAGTGATTCAATTCAATTCAAATTGTCAAACTATTTTTGAGGGACTAGGTGTGGGCCCAGCACTGGATTAGACACAGTGGGGTACTCAAATAATGCACAAAGACAAATGGAAAAACAAAATGAAAAAAGAATCCAAAAATACGATAGTGTAAGGAGCCTCTGGGACAGCTTCAAGCGTACCAACATCCGAATTATGGGGTGCTAGAAGATGAGAGAGAGCAAGATATTGAAAACCTATTTGAAGAAATAATGACAGAAAACTTCCCCCACCTGGTGAAAGAAATAGACTTACAGGTCCAGGAAGCACAGAGATCCCCAAACAAAAGGAATCCAAAGAGGACCACACCAAGACACATCATAATTAAAATGCCAAGAGCAAAAGACAAAGAGAGAATCTTAAAAGCAGCAAGAGAAAGAAACTCAGTTACCTACAAGGGAATACCCATACGACTCTCAGCTGATTTCTCAACAGAACTTTGCAGGCCAGAAGGGAGTGGCAAGAAATATTCAAAGTGATGAATACCAAGAACCTACAACCAAGATTACTTTATCCAGCAAAACTATCATTCAGAATTGAAGGTCAGATAAAGAGCTTCACAGGTAAGGAAAAGCTAAAGGAGTTCATCACCACCAAACCAGTATTATATGCCGCCATCTTGGTTTTTCCCCAAGAACATGTATGTTTTAAAACAGCTTTGAAAATAGTTTCTTGTCTAGAGGAAGGCCTGACTTCTGCTGTGTGAGCAGTACAGTGTTCAAAATTCATATGCCCAGGTACTCACCCTCCTGGAGGACAGTTCATAAATGTGCCAGTTAGCTGGCCCATGTCTTCTTCACACTCTGATTCTTATAAGCATATGTAGATGTACACATCACTCACAAAAATTTAGTTAAAATAAAAAGACAGAGGCAACAGTGCACCATTGCAATTTCTTTTTTTTTTTTACCATTGCAATTTCTTGATGAAAAACTGCACATTTCCTCTAGAAATCCTAAAGAAGGGTGTTTACAGAAATGGTGGGCTGGCATATACAATGCTTACTGTGAGAGATAACATCCTAAATACAGTGGGTCTCTTTCTATTAACTGCTACTCAGTGTTCGTTTTTCTTCAGATTGATCGGCTGGACGTGGACAGCTTGTTTAGCAATATTGAATCTGTGCATCAGATATCAGCCAAGCTGCTGTCATTGTTGGAAGAGGCCACAGCAGACGTGGAACCGGCCATGCAAGTAATCGGTATGTTTATTCTCTTGTCTGTTCTACAATACAGCAGGAAATAATATTTCAATACCCTCTGTTTGCTTTGGTTTTATGTTTCTGACTCACCCAAATTCCCAGGAGGTATATAAATGCTAAACCCCTTTTCAGGCTCATTGTAATCACACAAACTCTGTATTTATTTTGAAATGGGTTGATATCCATTTGCTAAAGTCTCTCAGTAGCACTAAACACACCATTTACTTTTTTATTTTCAATCTTTCAACCTCTTTGCCTTCCAGATGTTCTCATTTTGTTTTATGGTTAACATGTACTTGATCCTTAAGCGAATTAAATATTTAAATACTTTAATAGCTTTACTGATTTTAGTCACAATGTTTTTCAGATTTATGCCTATGAATCCATTGATTTTGGGTTGTAAATTCTTTTTGTGTGAAGAGTTTATATGATTTGTAAAACACACAAGTTCAACTTTTTCCATGACTTTCCTTTTTTTTTTTTTTTTTTTTTTACTATATATTTGCTTTCCAAATATGTTTTTACTCTCGCAGTAAGATTATTTTCTTACGCTGGTAAGATTTTTAAAAACAATAGAGCTATCATTGGAAATAGGTTGAGCCATGTTTTTATTTTCTTCATTTCTTGGGGCTTTCAAAGGAATACTGTGTATGAACTCTTTGAAGGCAGTTGCCACATCAAGATCTCATATACAGAGTGCCATGTAGGCCAAGAATTCTTAAAAGATTTAAACATCATTTTTCTGTTTCAACATAATATGTAAAATATGCTCATTACCAAAAATACCAAAAACAGTTCAGGAGCACACAGGGTGATATACCTCTGTAATGCCACTGTCTTCCCCCATAAAAAGCCATTATTATATGTTTGATGTGGATCTTTTTGTTTGAGACAAATACAGAGACACAAATACACACCTTATGTCTTTACCCATTATGCCTTTATTTGTTAGTGGGAATCAGGGTTATAAAAATGGCATGATATTGATCTTGTTTAGCATTTATGAATGACCCAAAGATTAATAAACAAGGCTGATCTTACCTGAAAGGTGAATCAACCTGGCTATTTATAGGACTTTACAGATCACAATGCCCATTCACTCAAAAAGATTCTCCCACAGACAGGCTTAAATTCAATCATTTCTTGTGATTAAATGTCCTTGTTATGTACTGAACATTTGTGTTCCCCAAAAATTTATTTGTTGAAGCTCTAACACCAATGAGATGATGTTTAAAGGTGAGGCCTTTGAGAAGTAATTTAGGGTTAGATGAAGTCCCAAGGGGCTCTCCCTCGTGCTGGGATTAGTGTCCTTATAATGAGAGGAAGAAAGACCAGAGTTCCCTCCCTCTGTCCCTCTACCATGTGAGGGCTCTGGAGGTCCTCACCAGAAATCAAATCTGCTGGCACCTTGAGCTTGGGCTCCACAGCCTCCAAAACCATGGGAAATAAATGTCTATTGTGTAGGTCACCCAGTCTTTGTTATTTTGCTATGGCAGCCTGGGTTAATTAATATATTTTCCAATACATTGTAAAAATATTTTCTAGAGTGAAGGTATTATTCATTATCTCTTTTGTTTGGATTTATTAGCCATTCATTTATTAATTCACTCAATGAATAGTTATTAAGCAGCAGCATGTTCACAGACTCCTGCTGCATGGCATTCTCAATATCAAAAGATGAAAGAGTTCATCTCCATCCTGCAAAAGTTTGCACTCAAACAGCTCCTTGAATTGAAGGTTGTAGTATAAGACACCACCAGAGTAGTTTCTATACAACTGCCGACCTTCAGAGGATAAAGAGAATATTCCTGGATGGGGAATCAGAGCAGGACTCTTGAAGATATTACTTGGGCTTAAAGATATAGGTCAGATTTCAACAAGTGAGGTATAGCTTGGGAAGACTGAATAGAAGCATGAACAAAAGCTTGGACAGCAAATGCCAAATGCCAAGTGTGTTTAGGACATGGGGAGTGATCAAGTCAAGCTGGAGTGAGGGATTTGTGCAAGGGAGGAATGACAAATGAATCTGTAAATATAGACTAGGAACAGACTATACTCAGAATCTAAGTTTGGAATTTTCTCTGCAGGTAATAAGGAAACATTAAGATTTTTTCAGCAAGGGTGTGATGAGACACAAAGTTTCTGGATAAATAAAACTATGGTAGCTGTGAAGAGAATGGATAGAATGAGGACATGATTCCTAGACCAATTGATAGGTAATTATACGTAATACAGGCTTGTGGTAATAGCATCTAGGCCTAGGTGGGTACAGTAAGAATTAAGAAAGCATAAAGAAGAGTCAGTGGTTGACTGTACATGCCAGAGTCAAAGACAATTCCAGGTTTAAGGAGCACGGCCATGGTGGCCTAGTGGTTGAGCAGTGACCTATGAACCAGGAGGTCAGGGTTCGATTCCCAGAAGGAGACATGTGGCCTGATTTGCCTAGAACATCCTGATTTTAGGCTATTACTCAGCTCCTATTTAATAGTATAAACTTATATCCTGTACCAGGTTTTACAATATCTATGTTTGGAAAAATATTCAAAAACCATAAACAAAAATAGCTTATTTGATGAACTTAATTTTTCAAAAATAAACAAACAAAAAAACCCACACACATACAATGGAGGCAAAGATAGTATCTGTCAAAACATTTGCACCGAAATATTTACACATTTTAATCTGGAGAGATTTGTAATCATAATTTGAATATCTTCTATTTAGCAGAATTTTCTCTGAGCTGATTAGGTGCCTCTGTGCTCACAGGGGAGCATTTTCCCAATTTAAAATAATATGGTTTACATATTCGAGCAGCACAATCAATAATGCCTGTATTATATTTTAACCCATAGGATAAAATAAATATCGAGTCCACACTAATAAACGAGGAGAAAAGAAAGCTCTTCCTTATGATATATTTCAATGAATACATGTGGAAGGAAAGAGGAAGACAGAAAGTTACTATTAGACAAACACTATAATCATTACTATTAATGCAAAGATCCACTGATCAATGCTAGGTTTAGTGGATGAAAGTTTGAGGAGAAATATACTTTTAATAGTTTCCAAGTATCTCTTAAGTATTGATTAATCTCAAAGGGGAAAGTAAGTGGTCCCTTTACAATGAGAAACCAGACAGAGAACATCTTAACCAAGTGATCGAGGTCAGTGATACCAGGAAGTAACACATATTCACATCATGAAACTTGTAGTACAATGTGCTGAGGGGAAAAAAATCACATCTGTGGTACTTTTGTCCAAAATATGTGCAACCATGAGAAAACACTAGACATCGACAAACTCACATGAGGGTTACTTGACAAAATTATTGATCAGTACTCTTCTAAAATGTCAGTCATTAAAGATAAATAGGACTGAGAAATTGTAGTCTTTTAAAGGCTGCAGGAGACTAAGGAGAAGTAACAAATAAATTCAAGTGGGAGACCAGATAGATTCTAGAACAGTGAAGGGACACCAGTGTTGAAATTCAAATGTGATGTGTAGTTTAGTTAAATGTACTGAAGCAACCTTCATTTCTTTTTTTTTTTTTCTGAGAACTGCACTAGGGCTGTGTAAGATGTTGACATTGGGGAAGCTGAGTGAGGAATATTTGGAGCCTATTGGTACTATTTTTGCAACTTTTCTTCTCTAAGAATAAAACTTATTCAAAATAAAGAGTTAAAAACATTATGGTTTACAGAGAAAACAAAGATGTTCAGAATTTCAAATGTACTAATCTTAAGTTACACTTTGAGGTAGATTATAAAAAAATAGGAAGATTATTTAAAATGAAATATTAAAACATTAAGCCGATTTTAGAAAACTCAAGAGTAGGAGTCATACTTTCACACACACACACACACACACACACACACACACCCTGCCTTTTATGTCTGGGCCAGCCTTGTGGCTTGCTTTGGCCAATAAAATGTGGCAACAGTGATGTTCTACAACAGCATTGTGACATCCGCTCTCTGCTTGGGGAGAGAGAAGGCTCAGATTACCCAGTCATTCCAGGCAACACAATCAAGGCCTTGCCCAGGTGAGTAAAGCCCTCCTCAGCCAGTGGGCCCCCAGCCACAGCCTGCCAGTGTATGAATAAACTCGCCCAACGCACGGAGACACCCCGTCCCAGCTGAGCCCTTCTCAAATTGTCAGCCCAGAGAATTGTAGACAAACAATTTTGTTTTGTAGACAAAAAAAAATTCTCTGTTTTAAGCCTTTCAATTTGGGGGTGATTTGCAGCAATAGCTAATTAATACACCGAGAAGAGATTAATTCAACTCAGATGATGAGAAAAAAAACTTGATTTGGAAAGTGGTTTTAGAGTGGGGACTTGAAGGATATGGGCAGGTGGATGTTGGAACAAATGACTTTCTAAATGACAAACGGCACAAAGGCCTCAAGGCAGGAGAGTATGGGAAATGCACACAGTGCAATACACAAATCTTGTAACATAGAAACCCACACTTGAAACCTATATGATCATATTAACCACTGTCACCCAATGAATGTTTTTAATATTTATTACATTGATTACCAATAAGTTGGATGGCCATGGGCCTTATCTCAGGCACGGATGACAGTGAGTAAAGAATCTTCCCTAAGAATCTGCAGTCACGAGCCTGCCCCACTCAGCATCAGCTCCCTCTCCCTTCCTCTCTGAAATAAATAAAAATATATATATTTTTAAAAAAGTGGCTGGAGGGTAGTGCCAGGAGCCTCCATGACCCATCTGTGGCAGCCATATAAATGCAGAGTTCACTGGCAATTTCCATCACTAAACATCTTTCACCAGAGTTCTTACATTTCATAAGATAAACTGATTCTTGGTGAAGTATTCCAAAATTAGGCTACCACAAAATGAAAAACACAGGTGTCCTATTTCTCTGTCCTCAGATGACACGCATGAGAGTTTGTGTTTCACAGCTCTACTGTCAAAGGGAAACATTCCTGATACCTAGATAAACCGGGAGGAGGGTTTTAGTTATTATCCTGAG